GTAGGAGTACCGATATTGTTTTTTTGGTGCTCGCCGATACTGAATAGTGATACAGGAAGTCACGTTAAGGAAGCCGGGCTGCATGTAATGACTCGACACCTTGCGATGATCGCAAGTACGATCTGCCTGTCCAAGATGGGCAGATCGTACTTTTAAAAAAAATTACTTTACAACCCTCGCAAGACAAAAGTCTTGCGAGGGTGGTACAGTGTATGGCCACCTTAACACAGGAATCCTTCTTGCAGGTAGTGAGAAAACAAGGATTACTTGACATCAATGCGCTGCAGCTTCTTAAAGTGACATTAAAGTCAAATTTTTTTCCCATGCTGCTGGGCTGTGTGCATTTACTTACCCTGTGTCTTCCCTCTTCTTCCAGTCGAATATCTCTACTGCGCATGCACCCGCCCATCATCCTTTGTGGCCGCTCAAGAATCTTCAGATCTTCGGAGGGGAGCAAGTGGCAGACACAGAGGTAAGTAATAACATGTTTGGTAACCTTTTTTACATTTTTTTTTGTGTTTTGGCATATGTCTACTGCTTGCTAGCAGCATGTAATATTTCCATATTAAAAAGGTTTAATTCTATTTTAAGCACGCATTCTCAAGATCTGCCTGGTCTTGGACCAAACTGTACAGCTTGTTCTTCTCCTATTACTTAGCAAGAAATGTGTACCACGACAAGAAAACATTTTTTTAAAAAGAGATAAAAATGAAGAAAATGTATATTCTGAGAACTATATATTATGCTTGCCTCCACTCTCATAGGCTTATACACTTTCTGATATGAAAGGCACCGATTTAAGTAAACATGGTACAGGAAGGAACAGAGGGGAGCTGGATTAGGGGAAGGTGGGCAACTTTCAGATACTATGTACTATATAAAAAAAAAAACAAAAAAAAAAAACAACACATTTTCTTCCCCCTAAAATACCGGAGAGAGCAAACTACAAATTACAAGGGGATAAGCAGTAATAGAACCCACCAGTCACTAGGGGAAATACATTTTCGGTAAACCATTAAGTACTCAGAAGATTTGAACATAGACACAATGTTCTAAATCCAGGAAGTTTTGTGGACACACCATACGCATACCAACCACAAGTATGATTATGGCAGCATTTTGGGAAACTGTAGACAGCTAATTGATGTCATAACTCCCACCGGGAAGATTAATACGGTAATAATGCATCTAACGTAAGTGACACATGGGCCAAACTGGGACATCCTCAAATTGCTGGGTGTCGATTTAATATAGCATAATGGATCCCATCAAACCCCAAGAAACGGAGTGCTGAAGTAACTGCAGATGCCTCTGCATATCACACTCCAAAAAGTGGGAGATACTTCTACAGCCCCAGCTGCACTGAGACTGTCTACAGCAGTAGTGGGTAACTCTCCTGACTTAGGGGGCCTCAAGTAGATGGTAGTGGACGTTAAGCTGACTAACCACCTGCATGTCAGGCACTAGACTTCCCGGTTCGTGATACCATACAGCGTGTTTCTATGACTTTACTTCCAACCAACTCAAAACCTTTGGAATTACTCTGCATACAAAGGAAGCCTTCCAAGAGCTTGAATCCTTCAAACAAAGAGTATTGAACCTTGTACAGAGGATCATCTGAAGTAACAGGCAGTGATTAAACCCATACCCTTTGAGACAAAGGGGTTGATTTACTAACCTTATAAACACACCACGAACATGTATACACCTCTGTAGTGTGTTCCCTCCCAGCATGATCTGTGGGTGGAATCTAAACACCTTTGTAGTGTGTACACACCCAGCAGGTGTGTTGTGCAAAGCCCTGCATGAATTGCAAGGTGATGCTGTGTAAATTAGCTCTATGTTGTGTTGCTTGCGTTGATGAATGCAGGAAAGTAAATGCATGAGCTAATCATTTTTGTCTAACAGCATTATATATGCATCATGTGCATGATTTTTCCATACATGGCATTAGTGGAAATATGCTTTTAGAGACTTTT